TTTGTGCCATCTTGAGAATATAAAAGTGACATAACAAACCATTCTTCAAAATAGAAATGCATTAAAAAAAAAAAAAAAAAAAAAAAGATGCTACAGCTAATATTCAGGAAACACAACAGGAAGACCTCACTAGCTTCCTTCAAAAAAAAAAAAAAAAAATCACTAAAAATAAACAGGACTTACTAAGTAAATTTCATTGTATATACAGTTCTTTGTAAAAATAAGGCTGGTGAATACTCAAAAGCCAATTAAAAAAAAAAAGTGTTAACTAAAATTTAAGGCTATTGTATCTCTTTAACTGGTTAAAACTGTAGTGTTTAGAAGCAAAACAAAACACATTATAATCAAGAACCATCCCCCCTCCAGCATTCTATAAACTAAAACCATTTTAAAATGTTTAAAATTACCTGTAATTCACTTTCCAGCTTCATCATCTTTGTTTTAAATATATTTTCTGTTGAAATAGAACAGATACAGTGAATTACCCATCAGTGTACAGAAAGCAATAATGATGAACTCAAGCCTTTAAATATCTGGCATTACTAAAGCAATTGACTACAGATCAGTTGAGATTTTCCTGAATTTAAAGAAACAACAAACAAACAAATCTAACAAATAAATTTAACAAATTCTTTATAAAGAGCATACGGAGATTTGCTTACCACATTTGGCTTGCTCTTCCCCAGCTTTTTCAACTTCTTCCAGTGCCAGCTCTACCTCTTGAGCTTTCATCTGGGAAAAAAAAAAAAATCACAGTAAGCAAAGGAAGAGGATTTACTAATAATGCAAACTGAGAGTTTAGGGTTACGAAAACATTTACAAAAGAACATCGTATTGTTCTTCCAAAAAAAAGAAGTCTCTTCTATTTTTTTCCCTTTTCTATTTTTTTCAATTTAAAACTTCAGAATGCTGAAATATTTTCTTTAGCAATTTATTACAGTGAAGCTGTCTAAACAGTCAAAAGCATGCAGCTGAAAATAAGAAATGGAAAAAAAAGCTTCTCTAAAAACAACATGCTGAGCATGTTTTCAGTATGTTTATGAGTGTGACACTGTGACAGATTTATAACATCAGTTTTAGGGTAGTTTCTTCCATTCACATAGACACTTTTAAAACTTCTCCAAAACATCAACCTACTAAAGTAACTTTGCGTGAAGTTATAACCATCATTAATAACTCACTTCATGTAACTCATTTCTGAGATATGTTTGCATTTTCTGCATTTAAAACTAAGAGTACCTAACCACATAACAATGCTTGTCCTATTCACTTTGCTTTCCTCTGGTGAAACGATCTCAGGAGTAACCAGTATGTTCAAAGCACAAGAAAAAAGAAGAAGAAAAAAAAAGAAGAGTAATCATTTTTTCATTTAAATGAATAAATTTAAGAAAGCAAATGTATCTAGAAAATTGGAGAAAGTGAGAATTATTACAAACCTTCATCAGTGACTGAGTAATTTTAAATAGATGCATCAATTGTTCAGGTGTTTCATTTTTCAAGTCTTTCCCATCAACCTGAGGAGATAATAGTGTTTTTATACAAATAACACTGAAATTCACAAAATAAATAATTTATGCATGTGAAAGAGCAAAAACAGGTAGGGAAGAATGCATAGCAAAAGCTGTACATTCCACTTTCCCCTCGAGTACCTTGGACAGAGTCTCAAACAATGTGTCTGCTAGTTCTTCTTGACGAGGCAGAGCATCTGGATCTACTCTCATAAGCTTCTTCCAATCTAGAATGGGTGCCATATTGATTTTAAATTATATTTCCTGGAACAAAAGACAGAAGTAACAATTATCAGACATTGCTGCTGCCAATCAGTCAAATAATTTAAAGGAGGCTAGGCAGTGAAACACAAAATTGTTTTAATAACTGTATGGATTTTCTAGTACTAATTAACTTTCTGTTCATATTTCAGCATACTGTACACAAGAAGATGACAGTAAAACTATTTCTTCTTTGCACAAAAAACTCATACACATTTGATCATACACAATCAAAGAATTTGAAATTCAAACGTTGAATATCTGGACACAAGAGAAACTTCAATTTTCCTTTCCAAATTTCCTTTGGTTCCTCTTAAATTCTACTGCCTTTTAAACTAGTCCTTGTAAGATAAAACCTCCATAAAATCACAAAATCTTTATTTATTATACTTAAACAATGAACGCTTTCATTTGATGCTATGACATTCACTTCTTTGTAGTCACCTACAGGATACTAAACTCTTGTATTAAGCATCCTTTCCTGTTGACTAGAATAACTGAATTGATAACGGACAGCAGGCCACCCAGTAACTGACAAAAACATTATTCAAATTAATGCAAATCTTTGTTCTAAAGCTTACTTGCTGGTTGCTGTGGATCACAATGACTTCTCATACACCCAGAAGACAATACAGTACCTGAAAAAGGAAAAATTGATTGAAAACTTTGGATTATTGTATTTTTTGCTGAGTGGTGAGGTGCTAGAACAAGCTGCCAAGAGTGGTTGTGGATGTTCCACCCCTGGAGATGTTTAAGGTCAGGTTGGATGGGGCCCTGGGGAATCTGATCAAGAACTTGATATAGTGGTTTGCAACCCTGACTGTAGCAGGGGGGTTGGAACTTGATGATCCTTGAGGCCATTCTACAATTCTATGATCCATAATGTTTTCTGGAGCTATCTATGGCCTATAGTGTCAATACTTTAAAAATTAGATTCTACTAAGTTAAAAAAAATGTTATTAAATCTTACATATCTGTAGTAGGCGTGGCGAGGAAACGGTATGTGACGGGGTCAGGTTTCCTATGCTCAGGGCTTGCCAAACGCTGCCCCACAATAGGACAGCAGGTAAGCAAGGGGTGTGGACAAAGCGGGACAAGAATATTTAAGTGCCTACCACATTTTAATAAACGCCATTTTGCCTCACGCACTCTGGGGTCTGTGTGAGCATTTGGCCCCGGCCCGGTTGGGGTCGGTTTCGCTGGCAAGTGGCGCCCTCGGTCGGCAGAGGACGAGCAATGAGAGACTACTACAACACATATCACACTAAATTATTAAAACTATATAAATGGTTAAGAGAATTAAGAAAGAAATAAAAATAAGCTGGACATTTAATTCATTATTATCTAAACTAATGATATAATGGGGATATATATTATCTGGGGAAAAAAAATCAAGTTCAGTAAATATATGTAACAAAGGTTTATTATAAAGCATATTTCAAGATCACTTCCCTCACTCACTGGTCATCATTTAAAGACTCAAAAACTAAAATTTCCTTCCTTAATGAAAGGCTAAACAGGTATTACATTTCCATTGCCTGAGCAATCTGAAAGAACAGTTCTAAATCTTTGAAATCCAGCCTTATTCCTAACAGAGGACAAAAATCACCATTTTGTCATCTTCTTTGAATACATGAAGTCCTTCAGAATATTGGGCAGGTCTTCAATGTTTGTTAAATATTTAAGGAAATGAGCACTCTATATAGTCCATGATCTGGTAATGATGAAATACATATAGTTTTTTTGCTTTTCTGCTTCCTTCTAAATGACAACAGAAAATACAAGAAAATCGCAAGCAGGACGTAAGTGATTTTGGCATTCTCAGTACTTCAGTTAATCTGATGCTACTTGATTTCAAGATCCTCATTTTTTTTAACATTTTAAATTTTTTAAGCAACAAGATGTATAAAACATGGATATAAAATGACTGTTAATCGGAACTATTCTGAGAACAAATTCACCGCCTTACTACTGTCAACCTTTCTTACCTTCCTTCATTTCTCTTTTTCTCTTCCTGACTTACAGAATAACTTCTTTAAGAAAGTATCACTCCTGAAACGGTATCTATGGGGAGAAAGAAATGTATATAAATAAAATAGTCTTTATTACTGGCACATCACCTCCACTAAGACACAGGTTGCACTAAACTAAATATACAGTATGTTCTATTGTAGATATGTATTTAAAGTACAATAAAAGTGATGTTACTTCTTCATAAAATGTAGCTGATCTCTTCCCCTCGGCAGAATACATGCTTTTACTTGGCAGGTGATCTGTGTAGTGATACAGATTTCATCACAATGAAATCAAGCACCACGACCAACAGCAGCTCCTCTTCCATAAAGATGTGTCTAATGTGTAACAGAGTCATATATTTATATACTCGAGTGCCACTAAATACCAGGAAATAGCACAGGCATGTGGGAGATGTGCTTTGCTGTACTAGTCCTACAGAACACTACATGTGAACTACAAAACCACAACTAAAATAGGATCTTGTGCAGGGCTCCTATTTTGTTCTGACTGATAAACCCTTATCCTGACAAGGACATGACCGCAATCCCTCCAGGATGCTGCTGTAATGTCTTACATACAGCTCTGCCTCCGTTTCACCGCTGTTAAATCAGCAAATCGCCTTATTTTGCATCCACCTTCAGTGGCACAGAGGCAGCGGTGCGTGGTGGAACCATCTGCGGGCACCGCCCGGACGCTCCCGTCCGGCACCAGACGCCCCCGCCCGCGTTGCGGCTCCCCCGGCCGCCCCCGCCGCGGACCGCTCTTCTCAGAGCAGCTCTGTTGCCGCTCGCCGCCGCCGCCGCCGCCGCCCCCGCCCTCACCGCTCCGCCGGAACAGAGATGGCGGCGGAGGCCGCTGCTAGGCGACGCCATCAAACTCTCCCGCCGGCTCCGTTCTGAGGAAGCCGGGTAGGCGTAGGGGAGGAGAAAACCGACGCTTCCGCAATAGTACGAACCGCGCAAGACACAGCGGATTTTCACGGGCACGGACCCGGCAGCGCAGGGGGCGGCGCAGGGAGCGGCGCAGATGACGGCCGCTCACCGCAGGCGCGGGTTACAGCCGCCGCCCCGCGCCCCAGCGGCGGACTGCAAATCCCAGCATGCCACGCGGCCCTCCAGGACCACAGCTCCCGGCGTGCCCTGGCGCCCGCGGCCCTGAGCGGGGCGTTCTCCCGACAGCCTCCGCCAGCGGGAGGGACGGCGGCGCCCGGGGGGCGGTGTGCGCATGTGCAGTGAGGTGCAGGCGCCGGCGTCGGCGCGAGCCCTGGGCAGCGACGAGAGCGCTTCCGCGGCGGGCTCAGGTAGGGCGGGTGGCGCTGGCGGCGGGTCGCGGGCCGGCGTTCTGCTGACCGAATCTGGGGGCCGGGCTCGACGGAGCCGCTACCGCGGCCGCGCTCCGCGGGGATGAGCTGTTTCTGTTGCTGAGGTGCGGCCTCGGTGCTAGCCGCGCTTCCATGCCCCGGCTCGGCCCGCTCCCTTCCTCACCCTCCCGTCGCCCCCCGGTGCCCCGAGCCGGCCCCGTGCCCCCGCGCTGCGGGCTGCGCGCTCCTTCCCAGGAGTCCGCCTGGCTGCGCCTGCGGTACCGCCGGCACGTGTATGCGCTTACCTGTACATCCTCCGTGTGTAAGTATCCGTAATCGGCCCCAAGGGGCGGTTTGCAAGGGGCACGGGAGGAGATCGCATCTGTGAACTGCGCGCATCCATCGGGTGCTGCTGGCAAGCGAGGAGTCTGAGCATGGGTACCCCGGAAAGTTTGGGAGCTTCGCCTAAGTAGGCATAAACATATCTTCTCAAGTTGGAAAAAAAACGGGCTCCCACTTGAAGTGTGTTATATCCTATGTATTCATTGGCTAGCTGTGTTAAGAGCTGAAACTGCTTTCTTCTATGCTTTCTTAACCAAAAGACAAAGGCATTTTGCATTTACCTTTTTTTTTTCTTGCTGTTTTATTCATGTTTGCTATCTCTTTATCGGTGTAGATATTTAATGAGGGCTGACAAGATGCAAGATCTTTGGCACGCCTGGTAGTTACGTAACTCGTTCCAGCCATGTCATAAGTCTTAACTCTTGATTGAAGGTAAAGACTTTATCTCTCAGCTTGGGGTTGGTCAGTTACAGCTCTCTGTTGGGTAAGAGAATACCCTTTGTTGTTGGGAAAGAGAGACTGGATTGTATTTCTAGGATCAAAACTGTTGCTAAAAAAATAAAGTTATTCATGATTGATGTAAAAAATAAAAGGAAAAAAACAACAAGAAAAAAAAAACCAGTTCCTGGCAGGAGTTACTCTATAGGTGTGGCAGGTGATATACCTGATATACAGAGCATAAAGCTGCCTTACTGTATGATGAGCTTCTGGGAAACATATCTTTATCCCTGTGCCATTTAGAGAATAAAGTAGTCCATTGATGATGCTTATGAAGTTCTGCAAGGTCAGGTGCAAGGCCCTAGACCTCTGTTGGGGCAGTCCCAAGCAAAATTACAGACTGGGCCAGAATAAATTGAGAGCATCCATGAGAAGAATTTTGGTGTGTTTGTTGATGAAAAGCTTGCTGTGAGCTGGCAATGTACTCTTGCAGCCCAAAAAACCAACTATATCCTGGCCTACATCAAAAGAGGGATGGCCAGCAGGGTGAGGGTGGTGATTGTCCCCTTCTGAGGCCTCACTTGGAATACTACATCCAGGCCTGGAGCTGCTGGCACAAGAAGGACATGGAGCTGTTGTGATGATTCCAGAGGAGGCCACAAGGATGATCAGAGGACTGGAGCACCTCTCCTACAAAGAGAGGCAGAGAGAGATGGAGTTTTTCAGCTTGGAGAAAAGAAGGTTCCAGGGAAATCTTACAGAGATCTTCTGATATGTAAAGGAGGCTAGTGGGAAAGCTGGAAATGAAATCTTTGTCGGGGAGTGTAGTGGTGTAGTAATAGGACAAGGAGTAATGTCTTTGACAACTCTAAAAGAGGGTTGATTTAAATTTGATGAAATAATTCTTTACTGTGAAGATGATGAGGCACTGGAACAGATCACCTCATGCTTGGAGATATACAAGGCCAGGCTGGATTGGGCTCTGGATTGAGCAGCAATCTATCAGGAGGTGACCCTGCCAACAGGGAAGCTAGAAATGGATGGTCTTTAAAGACACTTCCAAACCATTCTATAATTTTATCATGATACTTCTAAATAGGAACACATAAAGATATATTTATTTGCTTTTTAGTTTTTAATTCTCTTCATGTTAGCAATCTGATAATGTACTTGACTTTTTGGAAGGTTTTTTGTGGTCTTCTGTTACAAAATCAAACATTATGTATTCTGGTGTTGTAACCACATCTGGATTTGCAATTATTTTGTGCAGCTCATGGAGAAGATTGATGTGGAACTAAAGCAGACTTTGAGGTAGATGTGAAAACTGAAAATGAAATGAGTGGGGAAAAAGATGAAATGTTAGTCATACAAAAAATGACAATGTTTAAAATATAGAATGTCTTGGAACAAGTGAAGTAATATTTCTTTTGTTCTGCCCCAACATGTAATTGCGTGATGAAGTTTATATAAGCAATTTCTCTTTTGATGAGAACACACTCTTACAGTTCTGGAGCCAGAAAATGTTTTAGCTCCTTATTACACAGCTTGACCTATCCTGATGGATGGTTTCTGATATCAGTATGCTATTTCAAAAACCTTGTACAGAAACTGCATTATGAAAATTCAAATGGAATGTCATTCCAAAACAAAAACAAATAGAAGTCATCATACACAGGCCAAGCAAACTAAATAAGAACATGCATAGCAGAGTCTTTTCAGCGTGTGCCGCCCATGTAACTTTTGTTCATCTGTTCTTTGGAGTTAATGAATGTGCAGTTTCTACTGTTTATATTTCTGGAACACAGGCTATTGACCATTTTGAGCATTATTTTAGAGATGTTATTTTCGCATCACTATCCTATGAAACACAAGTAATGTTTTTTAGCGTAAATATGAAGCATATTATTTTGTTATTGTTTGATTGTGTAGCTTGGTAGCCCCCCCAGAAAAAAGGAGGGGCGAGGGAGGGAAAGGAGAGATAAGTCTTACTGGACTCTTCTTTCCTGTTATTTTAAGTTATATATTATTCTACCTAAGTATTTCAGGTATTTGTATTTCATCTGACTGTTGAAACAAACTGAAAATAAACCATGAGCTAAGCCAGTATCTCTTATCCATGTTTAAATTGCTTTATACTTTGATCCTCATTTGTATCAGAATAACCTAAAGTGTCCAATTGTTAATTTAACTAATTGGTTGCCAACAAGCTCCTCACTCTGCCGTCTGGGAAATCTTTCCTCTGGCATTGAGCACGTGTCACAACTGTCATTTCTCATCTCCTCATCTAGTTGATACTTCATAGCTTTGCTGAGAGAAGGCTGGAGGCAGTTTCTTCCTAGGGAATGAAAAGTACTTCAGATTAGACTTATTCCTCTTAACGCTGTACTGTTTGCAAGAGGTTACTGCATTGAAACATCTCTTGTATTTGTTCTGCTCTGCGGCTTTAACAAGAGGAAAGGGACTCCAGGTGTGTTTTGAATTTTTCCTGAGTTCCTAGTACTGTGTGTCTTCTCCCATATGTAATCCAAGCCCAGTCATGAAAACCTAGACTGTCTAAGTTGGTTAAAACTGGAGTTCTACTTTGGAGGAACATTTTTAAGATAAGATAAAGGTTGTGTTGGAAGGAAACAGTGGAAAGAAAATGGTGATATCTTTCCATTATTAAACATGGATATCAAGTTAGGAAAAAATATTAGATTTTGTCAAATAAAAATACAGAAAGTGAAGGTAAGTAGGCAAGACAGGTGAGGACAGTGTTGGAACCTCAAATACTAAATTAAGTTTTAAAGCAGCAAAACTACTCGCTTTAGAAGTCTGTTACATATATTGGTGGTGTTCATCAAATGAGCCACCAAGTCTTAGATTAATTTGTTGCTCACCTGTAAGAATGAATTAAAAAAAAAAAATGCAGTAGTTTTAACAGTTCTTTGTTTTCTTACACTTCTGAGAATTTAAGTCATTTCTCTGTGGGTGTTTTAAATAATTTGAGGCCTCAGTTTTATCATTGTTTATTTCTCTAGTGTTACTAAGTTGCACAACTGTTTTTCAGCACCTTGCTCACACGTATCTATCTCTTTCCAGCTTTTAGATCTCCAAAAGGTAGAGTGGGAAACCCGTGTTTTTTAATGGTGGTTGAAAATGCTGATGTTTTGATGTGAGTGAGAAGTGCCAGGTGTTATTTTGTATCCATGAGTATTTAATACAGCAGGAATAAAAACATTTGAATATTTGAGTAATAAAATTTGGTCTTCAGAATATATTTGCAGTGTTCTCATATGAACAGTAAATAAGGTTGTTGTGTTTTTTTTGATTGGTTGGTTGTTTTTGTTTTTCTTAATGTTCTGACAGCTTGAGCTGGCTTGTAATATACTATCAAAAGCTGCAAATAACAATAATATGTACATGATGCTGAGTATTTTCAGGAGCATTAAGAGCTCTCGCACAAAAATTGGAAAAGATAGTAACTTTGCAGTTGTGACAGCTGTTTGAGATGAGTTTTAATGAATGTACTTATTCCTGGCAATTTCATAGGAAATGGTGAGGAGGGTTAGGTGAATTGTATAGGCTTTTTCATATATGGAAGTACCACGGCTTTAAAATTTTCTATCTTTTTGTTCCTTCCAAAAGAAAAAAAGATGACTTAGAGTGTTTCTTTGTAGTAGACATAATGAAAAAAGACATAGCTATTAATGCCCTTCAGGGGATAAAACAAGTAAATACCCAATAGAAGTAAAATTTTAAATGTATGTTTAAGTTCTTAAATTTAAAATTAAAATTAGGCGTAGGATTTATGTGATCAACATAAATATATTGGCTTCTGAAGTTACTGTTGATGTAATGTGTCAAATAAAATGTTACTTAGCTGATAGGTAATGATGGAGTGGTAAACAGCTGCTGCATATCTAGGGACTGCAGCGGCACTCTTGCCTAAATACATCTTAGTTTCATAGGGTGAGAAGGTAGTTTCTTCACTTCCAGATGTCCAAAGTGAGGACGTAAAGCATCTCAGTTAGGTTTTCATGTGCATTTGTGTGCACTGTATAAAGGCATCGATAATTTGCAGATTATCCTCATCTGTCTGTAATGTCATGGATTTTGTAATGACTGGGGAGAAACATTTTCTTGTTCTCCTACTTCTCTAAAAGTGTTTTGGCTTTTGTGTAATATCTTACTATTGTTTGTAATTCTTGAAAAGGACTGAATAAACTTGTAGAGGATTC